ATTATTATGAGTGGTTCAACAGTAACGGGAAACCATTTCTACTTCCCGAGGATGCACGAGGGCAGACCTTTCCACGACGTCGAAAGAGACGTTCACCGACACAGCACCATCGTCCTCCGACTTGTGGACAGAGAGCAGGTGCTTCCGGTTCATCCTCAGCTGCACCAGCAGGACCTTCCCAGCAGCCACCGCAGCTATATATGATGCCGCCATCACCTTTCCATTACCAGATGACGCCGCCGCCGCATTCACCTGGTTTATGACCCCGCCACCGTCACAGATGACCCCTCCTGGAGGCTATTGTGGGTCTATGTTTGCAGATCTGACTTGAGGTTCATATGCTGGATATTTGGCGGGTTCAGCCTCATCACCCATGGCCGCAGCACAGACACCTCCTATACAGTTTTCACACTCAGCGATGTCTGGGTTTTCCCAATTTTCGCAGGCCGGTGGAATAGTCAGTAATACACATCCAGTGTCTTTATTCTATGGACGTGATTCATCGTCATCAACTCCTCATCAACCTAATGCACATGCTCAGGACGACGACGATGACAGTGAGGAGTGAGAACCAGTGATACAAAGAAATCCTCCTCGAGACCGACAACCACCGCCCTGCGGAACACATTCGCTACGCATGTATCGATATATTTTTTATTATATTTGTATTTACTTTATTTTGTTTAATTGTAATTTTTTATTATTTCTCATTTAATACTTACTTTATTTTGTTAAATTTGTTGGACTTTTTTTTTAATATTATTTCAGTTAATTTTGTTTATTACCATTTAATATCAGTTATTGTAATTTGGTTATCATTTATCATTTAATTCTTATTGTAAGTTTGTTGTATTTAAATACCTAATTGTTATTAGTTTGATAAAATTTAATGATTGTGTTCGTTTTTTTAATCTTCATCAGTAATTATCGAATGACATTAACTTGAAGTAAATGCAAATTAAAATACAAGAATTATTATTTGATAAACAAATACATCATTTCCTCATCAATTATTACTTGATGACAACAGAAGTGGACATGTTTTTCTAGTGTGTCATGGGTTTCTACAATGGCCACATCTTCTGTCTTGTCTAGATCTTTCTCGAATATCCATATCGTAATGAATTCGATTGGATTTTGAACGACTACGCTCCCTCAATAAACTCAGATTTGGTACAATCGGAAGTCAATCTTGAACCTCATCAGGGTCATTGTCATTACCTATGGGAAAAACTCAAATTCGTATACCTTAAAAACTTCAGATAATAGGTATACGGGATCCACAAAATGGTTATAGTCTTGACGTGTATGCGAGCAAGTTGCTATCACATGAGAGCATGGATACTTCAGAGCTTGAAAAAACCCACAGTCGCACGTTCTGTCCCTTAGATTTACTCTTAACGACACAACTTCAATCCCTTAAAGAAGTCGCGGTAACTCTGTGACACGAAACATTTTATGCCTTCCAGAGAAGCTTGTTACAGACATTCCATTTGATGCATCATTTTTTTTTCTGTAGATCTGCAACTAATATAGGGTGATAGACATGACCGCCTTGCATCCAGGTTTGAGCTTGTCCCCCAAGCTTCGCAAGAAGTGCCCCCAAACGAAAATATATAGTTTTTACCAAAGCCGCTACAGGTAAGTGACGTGCACCCTTTAAGGTTGAATTGATTGCCTCAGCCAAGTTGGTCGTCATGTGTCCATATCGATATCCACCATCATATGCGTTCGTCCACATTTTTTTATCGATGAGGCTGATGTAATCGTATCCTTCCTCGTTCGCCCACAAATCTTGAAGCATTGATTCAAACGTTCGAGGAAGTAGTTCGTATCCTGATCAAAAAATATATAACTTACTAACTTGCTTTCTTTGCAAAATTAAAATGATCAAAAAATGTATAACTTATTAACTTGCTTTAACTTACCCATGCGCACAATTAATTGACGCTCATCATTCTTCTTGTACCTTATATGATAGTTCGCAACAATGTGTCGGAGACAATACCTATGTTGGACAAAGGGTGGTTGCCACATTGGACCCAAAGACTCAATTGCTGCTTTGATCCCAGCTTCGCGATCTGAAATGACAAATTTTTTCTCTCATGATAACATGTGCACAAAAATTTTGGAGGAAAAAAGCCCAAGAATCTGTATTTTCTCCTTCGACAAGAGCAAAAGCAACAGGAAGAATGTTGCGATTGCCATCTTGGACAACTGCCAATAATAAAACTTGCTTGTATTTTCCATACAAGAAAGTCCCGTCGATCTGGACTACAAGCTTGCAGTATTTGGCAACATTAACGCACTGTGAGTAACTCCAAAAAACCCGATAGAATTAGCTTTGATCGCGAAGAACTCGATCATTATGGTATGCGTAGGAGGTTTCGAAGTCCACAATTGTCCCAGGATTCAACGTCCGCACCAGCCTAAACCAACCTGGAAGTTCGTTGTAAGATGCATCCCATTCGCCATGAAGTTTGACAATGGCATTTTGTTTTATCAACAAAGCTTTTTTATAGGAGACAGTGTACCCTTACTGCAATTGTATAGATAAATCAACACTGCAACAGCTATTTGAGAGCTTTCTTTTACCATGGGCATGATGGTTTGGCATATCACTTCAGAGTCCAAGTTGGGATGATCTTGGTTGACCTCTCCAGCACAACATGTGTGATGATCGTTATATACTGTTTGTTTTCATATGTTGTTTTTTCTCTTCCTTTTCGATACGCGAACCATCCAAATGCATTCGTTTTCACTTCGGGCATAGTAGCATACATATTTTTCGATCGTGGATCGGTTGACTCTGGACTGAACAGAATTACGGATATTGTAATTTTTTATAGTCATCACCGCTTCTTTGCTTGAGAACTCCATGCCTAAAGATAACTCACCATTATTTATTAACGAGTAATATCCATAGTCACCGAGATGAGGCATATCCGCAAATTTTGGCCCGTACATTGCACCATAATCAGCTTCATACATGTGTGCAGGAGGGTCAGTTTGTGCCATATTTCCTGGAACTTCATCATCATCAGAGTTGAATTGCGGTGATTCTGGGTGAATGAATAGTCCAGTCTCAGCACCATCCGCACCAGGCTCACGAAGCGGTTCTTCTGGTGGAGATGATGGTTACTCCATGCTTTCCACATTTAGGTTGAAGAGCCTACTACTTGCACGCCTTCCCCTTGAACTATAAGTCATATCGACATTGAGATCGAAAAAGCTCGCTGTCGAATGCCCCCCTGGAGCTTAAAGCCATCGTGTCAAATGGAAACTGCACAGATGGTTGCGTCGATGACATCTCCATATGATCAAATAAATTTGCAAATGAATGTCTTCCCCTTGAACTGGACGCTGTGTTGTCATACGGATTGTTTGTGGACCCATCTCGGTACATATCGTAAGGAGTTGCGGATGAATATCTCCCCATTACGGCATTAAAATCATTACACATTACTGTAGTCGAGCTGTTAACTTGATCAACTTGTTCAGCCAGCCCATAGTGCGAGCTTAAAGATTGACCCCGTACAGCACGTACTTGAACAAAATTTGTATACATCTCAATAGCGGCGTCTGAATAATTACTTTAAGCTTCAACCATCATTTGAACATCATCATTGTTTGAAAGTTCGAACGCTGTATAAGTTAATGGCAACAATGATGTTGAAAATCTGTACTACAACGACGACATTCTTCTACTACTTCCAACATGAATATTCCTTGAAATCTTCGTTATCAGCTCCTCAAGAGTTATATTTCTCTTGAATGATATTTTAACACTCTCATTTGATACGAAAATAACGCCGGTTTCATCTTTTCGAATTTCACCATCATAATAAACAATAGATGAAAGTCGCGTCATTCATTGAGTTTAAAAGTGCGGCAATATTATATATGTAAAAAAAATAACTGAAACAAACCTGATTAAATAAATTATATATGAACGAAAATATAACACAATAAATTTTTTACACATCAACGTAAATAATTTAAATAATATAATTTTATATTATTATCTGCACCGCAAAACTATTTCATCGTATGCTCCCGCTTTTCAATTTTACAAACATAAAAATTAATTGAAAATAATTAGTATAATATTTTTTCAAATAATGATAATAAACAATAAGTATAATTAAAAAATTTTAACAAAATTACTTTATAACGAAAAATCGCACGAACTTCTAAATAAAATATGAAAAGATTGCCAGAATTATTACTCGTTGACGAAATTGTTGTATTAATTTATAAGTTGAGAAGAGAGATGCGAGGAGATGTAAGAACCGGAGGAGTGTATTTATAAACATATAAGGTGCGATACCTGCACCGCGGTATATGTAATTATTATATAACACGAATCAAAAACCGCGTTAAATATAATTTTGATACGCGTATAGCGTTACCCCTGATCCGCACTATACCCCTGCATGACGTATAGCGTGGAACAGGAGTCGCGTTATACCCCACGTGTAACCAAATCAACGTATAACGCTGTACAGAAAATGTGCTATACTCTACGTGCTTCCAAATCAACATATACCTCGATTTAAGAGACGCACTTTACTACTAGGGTGTTAAATTAAAAAATATAATCTAATCAATATTACATAATAAATATACCGATCACCAGTGATTTTTCGAAAAAAAATACCCCATGGAAAATTTATATTAAAAACTCAAAAAAAATTATTAGATGACTCCTATCCAGAATTATTTGGAAAAAATGACTCAAAATACCTCGCATTATATAAAATACGTTTATCTGCTCGAATGCTACATGGTAAACCTTAGTCCCATGCTTGCCTTTTTGTTTACGTGGAGAAAGAGGTTTCAATAGGCTTTTACTATACAACATATGTTTAGTTTTTAAAAGTATACCATGAACTAAAACTTTTACTAACAGTGGATTCAAAGTTCAAAATCAGAACATCAGATTAATCTCTCTGTCAATGAAGACCAAAATTTTAGTTTGTAGCAGACAGAGAATCTAATTAATAAATATCCCAGGAAGGTGGATCCCGCCACCTGTTCTTTTGATCCATTTCAAGAAGCAGGTGACAAAGTCCACCCCCTAAAAACATTGTCACCAAAACAGTCTAAAACTTAGATAAGAACCAAACTGAACCCCAACCAGAACTGAACAAAAGAGCTTTAAAGGAAAAAACCCAACACTGTTTTGTTCCCCTTAAGTACCCCTTGTCAAGTCGCAAGCAATTTTGATTTGGAATTAATACAGCTACAACCTATAACTCTTCCAATTACAGTTTCTTCCACTGATTGCTTTGAGCCATCACGAGCTGGGTTGAACCTTACAGGCTGAAAGTCTTCACTGGGAAACCCCATCCTCTCAAAGTGCTTCACCAGTTGTTCAATGCCCTGGTGAATAATGATCATTCACCAATCACAAGTGTGTTAAATAGAACAATGTTTCTAATATACAGATTGCATATATACCTGGAGTTTAGCACAACATATTTGACGAATCTTGTTGGACTTGAAACAGTCCCAACGTGTATCGTGCCATTCATCATAAAACTTCCTCGCAGCTACCGGGTTTGTGAAGTTTACAAAACCGTAGCCCTTGCTTGACTTGGTACTGCAACAAAGGTGAAGACGACAAATAGTATTCCACATCGCAAGCAATGTATATGTGTGTGACTGTGTTACTGTAAAATGGAGTAATAGAAAGAAGATTTAATTTGGTGACATACTAGAAGTCTATAGGAAGATACAAGAAATCAAACGCTGACAACGAAGGTTCCTCATCACATGCGTCGCCATTCTGTGACTTTGCCTCGTGATTTGAAAGCATGCAATGTTGCTCAAGAAAATCCTTCAACATCTCTCGTCTACAAAGAACCCAAAACACACAGTTCATCAGAGCACCAAATGCCAACAGCTGAAATGTTTGAAATGCATTGTAGCAGTATGACATGAGTACACAATACAAAGAACCAAAGAATCTTACGTGTATCTGATGGGAATGTTCTTCAACATGATCGTTGTTTCCTTTCCATCAGATTTAAGTGGAATCAATGGATGTTTCTCGCTTCTCTTACCATCAGTCCAATCTTGAACCTTCTCTCCATTGCTACGCTTAGCCATCCATTCTTTCTTGCGAGCTACTCGAGTACTGTCATCAGCTCTCAAACACCCTTCTTTCCTATGTCTTTTATCCTTCAAATGATGCTTACCTCTATACAAACCCATCTTATCCTTCAAAGGTTCCACCATCGAATACACCGGTTCAGCCACCGGCGAAACAGACATCTCTGGGGACCAAAACTGGGGCTCAACCTCAAGTTGATAGTGTGTAAATGGTGGAGCTGAGAAAGCAAGGGGATATTGGACAGATGATAGAAGTGGTGTAAATATGGGAAAACCAGGAGCTGAAACCAGATTATAATTTGCTGGAAAAAACTCGGGGGCTTCTGGATTTAAGCTCGAGTATTTGAACTCCATGTTCAGAGGAAAACTGTAATTAGTACTCACCGCCATTTTCAACTGTGATTGCAAAGCGTGGACATTGAGCAACAATGGTGGATGATCTTTCTTCGTTTATATAGTAGTAGGAGAAGCGCGTGGGAGAATGCGTGTGATGAAAAAAAAAAGCTTTGTCATAGGGGAAAGATATTGGTGATGATTGAAAATATAGAGGAAGACAGTGAAACGCGAGATTTGGTAAGATAAATAGGAAAGAAAAATATAAAAGATTTTAACGTAATATTGAGTTAAAGATAGAGGCACTGAGTCGTGACTTACTGCGGCGAATGTTCCCTCTCCATTTAATGTTATTAGACGTCTGATGTAATTTTAAAGGGTAAACTAAGCAAGTTATTATTAATGTTTGAGTAAATTTTTATTTTCACCACTGATGTATAAAAAGTTATAAATTGATCATTAACGTTATCGTTTGTTACAAATTGATCATTTAACATTAACAGCCGTTAACATGTGTGATGAAAATCGAGCTAAATCTCAATCTCTAAACTTAATTTAGGATTTTTCATTTCCATCTCTATTCTTTAATTTTTTTTTTAATTGTAAGAGAAGTCATATGAAAATGGAAGACTCCATTGATGTTCTACTTTGCAACTGTGAATGTTCAACTAAGGTTTTTTTTTCCTATCAAACTCAAAATAAGCTTATCATAAATCATAGCATTGTCCCCCTTTGCCATAACCTCCATTTAAGTACGATGGTTTTTCTTTGCTCGTTTTTCTCTCTACTTTTTCTCTCAGACTAATGGAAGAAGAAGAAATTGATTTATGGAAGGAGAAATGAGTTTATGTATAAGAAAAAAAAATGAGTTTATGGAAGAAGAAGAGATGAGTTTATAGAAGAAAAAAATAAAATGTTTATGGAATAAAAAGAAACGTGTTTATGGAAGAAGAAGAATGATTCATAATGGTAAATTAAACCTTTGATTTCTCCCTTAATTAATTAATTTATTAATTATTAATTACATATTAGTTCAAGCACCATTCAAAGGGATTCCAATGGTCCTCCAATGTGGCTGTCAAAAGTCCATATAAGCAGTTAACGCGCCAACTGTATTTTTCGTCACGCCTGTTAATAACTGTTAATATCGGGTGACCAATTTGTAACAAAAGATAACATTAGTGACTGATTTATGACTTTTGAAACATCAATAGTGAAAATAAAAACTTACTCAAATATTAGTGACCAATTATATATTTTACCCAAATGTAAAATTAATATTAAAAAGTATTCTTTTTAATATAACATTTAAATCTATCTTATTCATGAGTAGATAATAATGAGATCGACATTGGTCAGATTAGATCGGGTTTCTTGTGATACCCCAAACATCGGATCAATGACTAAAATGTAAAGATTAAAATTTTGATGATTTAATTTGAATAAATTAAAAAATTTAAGGACTGATTTTGAAATTTGTGTCTATGCCTTATTATCAAATATGGAAGAGTGAAAGAACATTATGGTATTTAATAAGAAATACATTTAAAATTTATTTTTTAAAGGTTTTTAAGCATGTGAGGATAGTGAAAGAGAATTATCTGGAAACTTGGTTATCTTCTTCTTCACCCACCGCAAACCCCATTATCAAGGTAAGTTGATTTTAAGTTGATTGTTTCTTAAATTTGTGGGTTAGTTTTGAAGCCTTGAGTGGTATAGAAGCTTAAGGAAAACTTAAGGATGAATAGAACTAAGAGTTTAGTGAATTAATGATAAATTGGTGGAATGAGTTTTTAAAGGATTTAATGAGTTTGATTAATATTTGGATTTATAATAATATATTTGAATTTTAAATGTTTAATTAAGGTGTTTGATTGATGGGTATGATTTGTAGTTTAAAGTATTCCATAGATAATTTTGGGAGGTTTAAAGAGGATTAATGAATATAAGTTGTGTCTGATAAATGTTATTGAGTTTAAGGACTTGAATAGAGTTAAGGGTAAGAGAATTAAGTGAGTTTTGAGTAAAATTCGAAATGGAATATGTGAAGTATGGGTAAGAGTATCGGTATTGGAAGAACAGTACCGATACTATAAGGGTAAATTGAAGGAAAAACGTATGAATCGGATGAATAATATAAATACTTATTGAAGAAGTGTCGATACTGACGTGGAGGTATCGATACTGTAATAGAAATGAAATTCTAGAAAGCTAAAATGATATCGATACTGAAGGGGGTATCAGTACCATAGAAGAGAAGTATTAGTACTTTAGGAGGGGTATCGATACTATTCAGTCTGAAATTTGAATTAGGAGTTTTTGTTTCATTTATGTAAGTGCTAACTAGTTACCCGTTATTGGAAATTGGTATTGATATTGGACATGTCTATGTGTAGATTTGGATTGAAATCGTACCGAAGAAATCGACATTATATGAGATTGAACGAAAGGAAAATGATTCCGTTTAGGACTTACCTGAGGTAAAGATGAGTACAATTTATCCGTTTATATTAGATATGAGGACGATTTACAATAAGCCAACCTCAAAGTTTTCGATCAAAAATATTTTATTTTATTTTATGCAATATTTTTTATGATGTTTTTATATAAATTGTATTTCCAAAGAATTATTTGATTTTATTAACATATGAATGTGTTTTATGTGAAAGTATTATGCGTGAATGTGTTTTATATGAAAAGATTCTACACGAATATATGCTCTATGCGAAAGTATTATATGTGGATAAAAGACACTGGAAGAAAGTAATGAAAATTAATAATAAAACTAAAGTCCAAAGTATATGTATGAAAATTAGAGGTATAGTTGACATGCCAAGAGTCGAGATTTCTATGTGGTCATTCGGGACAAATTTCTACGTGGTCTTTCGGGACAAATTCTACGCGGTTATTCAGAACAAATCTATGTGGCACTTCGGTGCAAATTATATGAGCAGTGGTAACTGCATTTAGTGCACAACCTCAATGTACTCATATACCTTTAGTTCTTAGTAATATGCGTTGGACTAAAATAATAAAGTGATATAAATTGAATAATGAGTAACAATATATGTATTTTTATGAAATGTAGCTTGATTTCAATATGAAATGATTAAGCAAATTTTTTAAATGATTTATTATACTCATTATTGTCTCACTAATTCGACGACTTAACGTGTGATGATTTCACACGTAGGTTCAAAGAGACCAGAAGATTAAAGCTAAGAAGGGATAACATGCACTTGAAGAATATCAAATCAAAACAATTTGAATCGTATGTTTTTTATCATTTTGTAATTTTATTGGCAGGTATCACAAAGTTTTAAATTGTAATTCTCTGATCTGTTTTGTAATCATACTATTTTATATTTATGTAAATTATTAAGTATTTATTTTCAATGTGAGTTATGAATTTTCAATAGTAACTTTGGGTTAAGGGTTTCACTACTTAAATATAAATAAAAGTTCAAATTTTTAACAAAATTTTAAAGAGTCAAAGTTTTGAAAAATCAATGTGACACATCGGATTCGTATTCGGGTCAGGTACGGGTACGAGTTAGGGGTGTTACATTTCTCGTCAACCCGATCTGACCTAAATAATATATATATTCCACCAGACCTGACCCGATCCGAAGAGAATATTTTCTTCACCCAAGTCGACTCAATTTTTTAGAGTATAAATCTGACCCGATCCAACCAAACCTAATATAACATAAGGACCTAATTAAAAAAAAAAACTATAGAGAGTGGTACTATAGCAATTATCCATAAATTTATATGAAAAGAACATACTGTTACTCCTGCGTCGTGTCAAAGATTTTGACCCTCCACACGAAACCGATCTGACCCGAATCTAATTTTTTTAATATAATCTTATCGAGTTGGATCATTTCAAAATCTATCACTTTCGAATTAAATTATCATTTTTATTCAAATTTGTAACCCGTTATTTATAACCATTGACCATTGTTTTCTTTTGTTATTATCATTATTTGATTAATCCACCTAAATTTCGATCGAACTAATATCTTAAAAAGACGTCTTATAAATGAAGAATTGTGTGTTTTATCCCAATAAAAGATTGAAAATTGTATAATTTACTATGGTTGTCAATCCCACCAAAACAATTATACTAAAAAAATCCAATACAGCTAATTGAATTTTATGTTCTTTTGTATGGCAGTGAAATATCAAATACAAGAATCCAATGCATAGGACAAAAATTCCCCCTCGATCCTCAAAACTCTCTGCTTCCAATAATAATACACACAATTTTCTTTTCTTCTCAAGTGTTTGATTTGCAGAATGGGGAGCTTAGGAGCACTGATGAAACACCCAGATGATTTTTATCCATTGTTGAAACTGAAAATGGCTGCCAGACAGGCCGAGAAGCAGATCCCATCGGACCCTCACTGGGGTTTTTGTTTCTCCATGTTTCACAAAGTTTCTCGCAGTTTCGCTCTTGTTATTCAACAGCTCCACCCCCAGCCTAGCTTAGGAATGCAGTAAGCAAATCTAGCTTATAAAATCCTTTGAATTTTATATGATGTGTGAATGAATTTTAAGTTAGATTTATAATTCTTGTTCAAAAAAGAAAAAAATCACAATGCTTTGATTTTCTAATCTCAAATACACCATTTTGGTTTGATGGTTTTGCAGGTCTGCGTATTTTATTTGGTTCTTCGAGCTCTTGATACTGTTGGTTTGTTCCCTTAATCTCATATTTCCCCATCATATATATAGATATTGATTATTGAATTTGTTACATGATTGTTTGCTTGCAAATTATAGTGATATTATGCATATGAATCTTGATCCACTTCAATTCCTTTTGAAGTTGTCAATTAAGTATAAAAACAAGATTTTGGTTAGTTTCTTTAAGTCGATATATTCATGCTATTGATCGGCACATTTTTTTTTTCTTGCAGAGGATGACACTAGCGTTGCAACTGATGTTAAAGGTCCAATTCTTATGGATTTTTAACGTCACATATATAATCCCGATTGGCACTTTTCTTGTGAGCTTCTTGATATTTTGCCTCCTTAATATAGAGGGTTGTCTCTTTAATCTAGTCTAGAAATAGGAGAAAAATAGCATTATACTATGTTATTTGAGCTCGATTGTGCATATGTTTGAGTCTTTATGTTTATTTTTTTTCTTCTGAATATTTCCATTTATTTGGAAAGTTCATAGAAGGTCATATTCCTTCAGTCCTACAAATACGTAGACACGAGTACTTTAAGCAAAATGAATACTTGGAGCAACATAACCAGGATTTCAATTGGTTCATATCATTGTTGGAGATTTTAGCTATGTACCCGGACTAGATTGCGAGTATAGGACATCCGTATGTGTTCGAAATGAGTATAGTCAACTTTTATTAAAATTTCCATGTATTAGGAGAGTTCTTAAGAGGACCTTATCCCCATACCTGTATTCAACTACGTGTCAAATACAGATATCAAACATGGGTAGTATAAGAAAAATGAAGAGTTGAAGCAACACAAACTTTTTCATACCAAAATAGAATCTTGTTTTTTCACCTATATAACTTTCTTTCATTTCAGGCGGTACAAAGGAATACAAAGTTCTCATGGATCAGTTTCATCTTGTGTCTGCTGCTTTTCTGGAACTAGAAAAGGGATTACTATCACTGTTTTACTTGTTCTTTCTTTGTTTATGCTAATCTTTCATCTTTTTTGTAGTCTATGTTATCTTAAATGCATGTTTCAAATTGGTTTTGCTTATCGATTATGCAATAGTTCTCTATTGATTTTTGTAGTTATCAGGAGGCAATTGAGGACATTACACTAAGAATGGGTGCAGGGATGGCAAAATTTATTTGCAAGGAGGTTTGTTACGCATGTATTATCCTTATGAAGTTTCCTGTTGAGGGGTCAGAACGAAAGACTCAGTTCTATTTCGGTTAACAAAATTCACGGTTTTCCCTTAAATGAGATCTATCTAAAAAGTGGAATAGGTCTTAATGAAGTCTTACCAGCGGATATTTTCATATTCTGATCATGAGTTACTTAGCACTGCCTATTCGTACTTTATATTAGGCACTTCTGGCTAAAGTTTAGGTTTCACTTATGAAAAAGAAAAAAGTTGCCAAGATTGGAAAAATGATATAGTTTAGTTACCAAATTGTCAGTTAAGCCTTCGTACTATTATCCGGATGTATGAATGAAGTATCAAATACTGTGGTTAATCTCTGCAAGATTTGATTCATGCTATGTATTAAAACTGATTACTCAAACTTAGCCACTAAAGCTGCACACTATGTAAAACGCCTTATAATAAATTGGTATTCTCTTGTATGTAAATCCAGGAACTCCTGTTTTTTATTGCAGGTTGAAACAGTTGACGACTATTATGAATATTGTCACTACGTAGCTGGACTTGTTGGATTAGGTTTGTCCAAGCTTTTCCATGCATACGGATCAGAAGATTTGGCTCCAGAATCACTCTCCAATTCAATGGGTTTATTTCTTCAGGTATTTGCTCTCTGATATATAAACGAACCAACATATTTCATGGCTGGATTTTGACGTTTGTTTGAAGATTTGATTCTAAAATTATGTGTTTTGGATCTAACGAAATGACAGAAAACAAATATTATCCGAGACTATCTTGAGGATATCAATGAGATACCAAAGTCACGCATGTTCTGGCCTCGCAAGATTTGGAGTAAATATGTCATTAAGCTAGAGGTATATGCTGCAACTGAATTTCATTCGAGTAACTTCCCTGTGTGTATGAGTTATATTCATCCGCAGGACCTGAAATATGAGGAAAATTCAGTCAAGGCAGTGCAGTGCTTAAACGACATGGTCACTAATGCTTTACTACATGTTGATGATTGCCTGGAGTATATGTCTGCATTACGTGACCCTTCGATTTTTAGATTTTGTGCCATCCCTCTGGTTGGAGAGAGTTTCATGTTCCATTCTTTTATATCATTTGAGTTGCATGCCATTCTTAATCTTCTGCAAGTGTAATACATCAACTCAAGTTTTTGTGTCTAATTTATTGTGTCTTGTTTTTACTAGATCATGGCTATCGGAACACTAGCCTTGTGTTACAACAACATTAAAGTCTTCCGAGGTGTTGTGAAAATGAGGTGCGGTAAGGTTATAGTCTCTGGAATTGTGTTCTTTGGCGATCAAATTTGAGGCATGGAAACTAAAAAGGGTTCAAAAGATCTCTTTAAACGTGCTTTCATAACAAGAATCCTAAAATCTTCCGAACTTGGTTCTTTGCTCCTTTTATGTCAATATTTGATCAATCAATTTTACATCTTAAAGTTTCGGTCCATGGACTATGTATACAAGTAATCTGTTATAAGGCTTATTTATTTTGGTTTAATGTTCGATTCAACTGGGTATTGTTTCCAGGTCTGACTGCAAAAGTCATTGATCGAACAAAAACAATGGCCGATGTCTATGGTTCTTTCTATGATTTTTCTTGCATGTTGAAAGTCAAGGTACATACCAACCATCTGGGTTATTGGATGTGTTGTATTCATATCTGAATTCTGCATTACTTTCATTATATGCATTCGTTTGGCCATTGTAGGTTGACAAAAATGATCCCAACGCACAAAAAACATTGAGCCGACTTGATTCGATTCTCAAGACTTGCTGAGATTTAGGAGGTCTCCTCTCTCCCTAAAATTTTATAAGTTCGTCATCTCTTACGTAAAATCATGCTTTCGTCCTTGGATACAGGCATATTTTCAGTAGGTGTATGGCCAGAATTTTCAAACCACTTTAATGTACTTGAAGAAAAACGTGGAGTCAAAGCAATAATAGACGATAGTTTAATGTAATTATGGGACAGTGTTTATTTCATTCACTATTTTGTTATCCTTTGAGACCATTCTGAAGTTGTTTTTAGTGTTTGTTGTAAACCATATTTTATATATAATTTTTATTTTTGTTTAGTGGGAGGGGGAATGAGTTGTCCGACATCACGGATTGGGTTGGCCGAGAGAGTTTTCTTATTTATTCATTTCAATGGTATGATTTCTTAGGGCTTAATTCACTTTTTAGTAACTAAATTATATTTTAATTTGATTTTTGATGCCTAAAGATTTTTTTTTGTTAAAAATAGGTATCTAATGTTTTTATTGTTACAATTTTAGGTGTTCGAACGTTAACCATCGGCAAAAAAAATTTCTTTAAATGACACTTGTCAGTCATATAAAACTTCAATTAGAAAAACACTTAAAACTTATTATTTTTATAAAAAACCCCATTTTTTTAAATTAAAAAAATCCCAAAATCTTGCAAAACTCTAATTTCAATCCTCCAACTATTGTCACAAAATTGGGTGATTGCAGCAGTGGTCGGAGATAGAGAGGACCACATGACTTCTAGTGGTTTTCTAGTGAATGACGATCGAGGTGGGTGAAAGGCGATGATCAGAGTTTGGTTGCGGGACGATGGCAAACTTGGAGGTAGCTTTGAACATGTTTAAAATACCAACCAAGAATTTTAATAACTACTTTATTGTTTAAACTATTTAATTAGTTGATAATATAAAAACTTATTGAATTTAAATATTGATGCTGGAAGTTTCCACTTTAAAAGGAAATAATTTATAATTGTTCCAAGGTATAAAACTCAAATTTAGATCAAATAAAGTACACAAATGATCCCCTAATTATAAAATATTACTTTATTGAGTCTTTTAACTATTAAAAGTTATAAAAATGATTTCCGATTGTAAAAACTTATTTTGTTGAGTCCATCGACTATTAAAAGTTATAAAATGATCACCTAAATATTCATTACGTTCCAAACTCATCTTTTTCGTTAAAAAATTAATGACACTCTGAGTTGGATGTTAACTTGTCGATTGATATATGATAAAATCTGATCTCATTATCTCAAACGACTATCATATATTACTCATAATGTTAACGTCAAGCTCAGACGACTGTTAATTTTTTAATGAAAAATGACGAGTTTGGAACATAATGAATTGTCAGATGATCATTTTGTAACTTTTAATAGTCGAAAGATTCAACAAAATAACTCTCTATAATCATGGGACCATTTTGTAACTTTTAATAGTCGACATATTTAATAAAACAATATCTTATAGTTGGAAACCATTTGCATACTTTACCCATTTTAGATTTAATTTCATACATAAAACACCACATGAATTTATGGTCAATTTATACACAACAAATTATAAACAGAGCAGATAGCACAATTCTAACATTAACACTTTACATACACAAAACGAAGCATAAAACCATGTCTCAAAGAAAATAAACAAATAAAAATCTAAAATGAATTCACATATTGATGAAAAAAAAATATTAAAGAGGGGGAAATTACTTACAGCATTTATTCTATATATATATCACATAAAAATAGGGCAAAGGGCAACAAGAACTCTTCTATCATAAATTATAGGGTAAATCATGCTTTTAGTATCTAAACTATCAGTTTTGGTTTGTTTAGTACCTAAACTTTCATTTTTTTTAAATCATACCTAACGTTTAGTTTTTGTTTCATTTTAATACCCGTTATTAAAAACTTAATGCGTTTAGTACCTAAACCATCAATTTTGATATATTTTAGTACCTCAACTTTCATATTTTTTTCAAAACTTAAGTATGGTTTAGGTACTAAACGTGTTTTGGTACCTAAACTTTCAATTTTTTAACACTTAAGTTTTGGTACTAAAAATGAAACAAAAACTAAACTTTAGGTATGGTTTTCAAAAAATTGAATGTTTAGGTAGTAAAACAAATCAAAACTGATAGTTTAGGTACTAAATCTGTAGTTTACCCTAAATTAATAGCACAATAAGCAAAAGCTACTGCATACACAACACAAAATCATATTTTCTTTTTCTCAGACGCCAAACAAACAAAGGTGAAGTGTTAAAAAACTTCTGCAACTTTACTCGCAAGAACACGTTCCCTTTTTTCTATGTATGTGAAAGGGAACCAACCTGCTTTGCCCTTGCATTCTCCTTCTGCCCACCCATTGTTTGTCACCTGCCAAAGAGTATATCGAAAGTGAACCCGGGTGAGTAAAAATGTTGGTTTACTGAATAGACCGACTGAAACAGGTGAAACAACAAGTTAAGAGATTTATGAATATAGAAGTCATGGTTAAACCTTCCGCACAACTACATAGTCTCCAGCTGAAAGATTCAGTTCTGTGTCAGATTCCCGGTTATACGGATACATAACCTGCAATAATACATCAATTACTATGTCAACTTACAGATTACGATAACTTGGTAATCCAAGTGTGCCAATGGTACCAATTTACAAACCTCGCCTAAAAAGTATCCCATGGCGTCTGTTGATTCACTATGTGTTTGAGATGCATAAACTCCATTAACTTCCTCATACGAGGGAGGCGGAGGCATGTTGTCTGCCACACTTGGAGCAGGTGGTGCTTCAATTCGTTGTCGCTCGGATATCATCTATCAGGAAAATGGGGAAAATCATGTCGGTCATAATATTGTAATTTGGAAATCATGTCGGTCATAATATTATACTTTTGTTGCACTGAAAGGATGTCGAGAAAAATGACTTGGTAGCAAAAGGTGCGTACCTCACTTTCAAGCAGCTCAAGTATCTGAAGGGCTCGTTGATGATATGTACGTTCGGCTTCAACCTTCAGACCAAAGATAAAATGAGGTTATCCAGTAAGGACTATGGTAAAAGAGTTTAAGAATGTATATACTGAGAACTACTTGGAAGTTAAATGTTCAAAATTAAGTTCCTACAGCATGCAAAATAGAATTAAGTTTATATAAACGGAAATTTCCATTACCATAGCGATAAGTCTCTGAAGTGTCAACCTCTGTTGTTGAACTTCAACAGCGGCCATTGCTGAAGCAGCTTCTTGTCCCAATGTTGACATGTTTGACTTTAGCTCTTGCAGTTTGTTTTCCACGACTTCCAATTTCATGACAGTCTCATGAGTTACCGGCATTTCCCTCGCTCTCGCTTGGCGTTTGGAGACTTCTATTGTCTGTCTAGGTCCAAAAGGATGTAAATTTATAGCATAATCAACTTCGTAAGTTTAAGCTTCGAAAAATCATAAATCACAAAGTGCATATCTTAACAAATCTCTAGAGAAAACAAAAGGAATATAACTCTTGACAACTCTCTATAATGAAACACTGTCTTCACAATTGATTAGTGGGCTTCAAGCCTCACGTCATGAACCTAATTGTTTGGAACTATATATGCATGAATCAGTAGAGTTTCCTCAGAAATTAATGCAAGCAGACATCCAATGCATAAGACAGCAATAGCCTATAAAACCTGTGATTCGGCTTCTTGTCGCATTCTGTCATATCGCTGAGTAAGATGTCTTGCATCCTCCAAAGGAGCTCCCATTACCATTGCTCTTAGTGGCTCAGCAACCTAACAGATCAAATAAGTCAAAACATAACTCAAATGATCATATTGCTGATAATAATCAGGGATAAGGTTAAAAAGTCTACAGATGCCGAAGCGAAGAATCCATGCATAGGTTATCAAAAGGCACGCTAGACATGAGTCTGCTTCTATGGATTCAAGAACTTAGAAACCTAAATTTCAAGGATTTTATGTTTCACTAACAAAAACCGTAAAGAAACCTGTGTTCCAAGAGACTTCAACAGATTCCCACGTTCCTTCTCCATTTGAGCACGAGCACGTCCAAAGCTTAATGCAGCTTTTGACAACGTATTGCCACTGGTACAGGTGTTTTCAGAACCATATTTCTTGCCATCCTCAGACAATTTTGTTCCTTCAGGAAAAAAAAATTACATAATAAAACTATGATACCAAGTCCATTAAATTCAAAGTGGAATTTCTGTGTTAACAAATGCTTCATTGACATAATACCTATTTCAACTTGTTTTGACCCAGTAACAATATATCCTTCTACACCACGGACAATATCCCTTTGAAAATGCTGAAAAACAAAACCAACCAACGTGAATGAAAATGGAAAAAGAGACAAAAGTTGATGACAGAAAAACTAAACAACCTTGGCCGTGCGCGTTGAGATATAAAGCTTCTCAAGTCTCTGATGTTGTTTAAGTTCCGCTTCATCAGTAACTACGGTGTCTGAACCTCCAAAACCGCCGCCAACAAACTGTTTGAGGACAGCCTGAAATAACATTTGGCAAAATAACCGTCTGTGTTAGCGAAACTTATACAATAGTCGAGCATTTGGATCACAACACGTTAAGTTGCTTATAGATAGCAATAAACAAATAAAGAACATACGGGAAGGTTTCTAATTGTATTCAACATAAATTAAGATTTTCAATATTTTACATTCATTTTCATCATTCAACATTGGGGGAAAACATAGATTCGAATTCCATAATCTAATTTTAAATTTTCAATTAAGCTGATAAAATAACTTCCATAACTAATCATTTTTCATTTCACGTTCGCATAACGGTTAATTATTTCCAAATTCTTCTGAACCGATTCAGGCATCATAAACGCGCGAAGCCACACGGAAATAGATCCAAAAATTAGTTAAAATCGAACGAGCGCATAATCGAAATCACCCATACTAACAGGCAAATCAAATAGAGAAAAAAAACAAAACTAGTGAAAATTTAGAGATAGATCATGGATTAAGCTGATAAAACAAACTTAAAATCGGATCTAAACAAAGTTAAGAAAGAGGGAGAACCTGTTGTTGGCGGGCGACTTGTTCCCTAAACCGGGAGGCTTGTTTTCTGATTGCCTCCATTAAAACGACAAAAATAGAGATCTTACAATGGATTCAAAGAGCTGAAAACGAAGCAAGATATAGAGAAAGATAATTCAAATCGTCGAACTCGAATAGTGCGTGTGATTTGGAGAATTTTCTTTTATTCGGATTCTTCAAGGAGCCTTTTTTTCATATATTTAATTTGACCTTTATTTATTTAGTTGGTTAGTATTTTTCATGGTTAAAGTACGCAGTTGGTTACTAAAGTATTAACAAGTGTTTACTTTATTCACTAATGTTTGAAAAGATATGTTATGATCATTTCATATTATCAATTTATCACAAAATGATCCCTTTTGATTAATAAATAATTTAATTGAATTGACCCTTAAAATCGTTATTGTCTGTTTCTTCTTAAAAACAAAATGTGATGTTTATATTATTTTAGCGATGAAAATACTATAATAATGGTGATAAGCTGAATGTGACTCATTGAACAACTGCACGATTATATAGCATTAGTAGTAGATTTACAGTGTGTCTTGTTCAGATGTAACCAAGCCTCCTTGAAGTGGGACATGACCATACTGTAGGTAGTTGATGGCAGGGTTATAAAATGTAAGATCATCTTACAATGTTTTCTAGATAGGTTAGCAGTGGCGGATTTGGGAAAAAAATGTAAACTAAACCCTTTAAAAAAAATTAAAATTTTAATTTGCCAACTAACCTCTATCACCAAGTTCCGCCATTATGATGCAAAACAAACACAACTCAATTATCAGCTTCTCATTCTAACCATTTTAATGGCATTCACAAGCCAGTATATAAATAAACTACGGTTGTCACACACCTTCATACTCTGCTACATGCTAAACTTTTATCTTCAAAAGTACTCCTATTTTTTTTCCTCCATGAAATAGGAGCCCAAGAATCATTAAACCATGGAGAAGGACATATCTGACAATTACCACAAGCCCTTAAACCCAGTAAATACACAGTTGTCAGAACTGAGAATCCATCCACCAATATCTGCATCCAAAAAAGTAAGATTATTACTCAAATATTATAGGAAAATCTCAAACAGGATTGCCCAACAAACTTAAGATGTAAAACTGTTGTAATGGATGGAAGGTTAGTGATTGAAAAGTACACTCCAATCAACATGATGACATCCCTATACTTATGTTTAGATATGTAAATAAAGATCGCAATCAACATGTTACCATGATTTGTGTTCAAATGTTATTAAGCTGTTCTTATCATGCATGAAGGTCACTTTCATTGGACACAACTGCCCTCGAGGATATTAGCAACCCTCGAGGATATTAGCAAAGCTTATATCCAAAGGCAAAAACCTAGAAATTCTTATGTGATTGTACAAGTCAGGAACTGCATGGTATCCCCCCCCCTACATCATCAAAATCAACGTGGATGGGGCGTTTATTGCAAACTCAAATGACGCAGCCATTGGGGTGATCGCGCGTGACCAGCATGGTATGGTTATAGGTAGGGTTGCACGCAAACTCAATCCCCCGAACACCTCGGAATCAACTGAAGCGTTGGCTTTTATTCACAGGTTTAGATTCGCCATTGAAAATGGACGGCAACAAGTTCTTATCGAAGGAGATGCTATTTCCATTGTGGACCGCCTTGCTAACAGAAGAGAGGACATTTCCATCGTCGGTTTGCTGCTCAACGTGGTTCAAGAGTACATCGCCAACAACCCGAGCTTTAAGGTCTTGTACCTCAATAGGGGAGCTAATAGAGTTGCCCATGCATTGGCAACCTGGGCACTATCAAGGAGTAACCCTTACTGGTTTTACTATGATGAACCAGATTGTATAAAAAACATGTATTACTTGATGCAATTGGAATCTAATTGAAGTTTCTCTTTTCGGAAAAAAAAGTCAAGGAACTGCATAATGCTCAAGCTCTACTCAGAAAAACATGATCTTTTTCTTTTTAATAATGTCATCTAAACACCTAAGTGAACTTTCTGAACCTGTAGAGAGGAGAAATTTCTGTTTCTATTACTAGGTTCCATCGATTCTCTTAATATAGTCTCCAACTTTCTGTAATTTAAATTGTAGTAACCCGTATCATGTTTTAGTTGCATGAAGACAAGTATGAAAAACCAAAACATAGAATCTCATCTGTGTTTTCCGATTTGCAAGACAATAGCTGTAACAGTTTCATGCTAACTCCATCAGTTTCAACGACAGTGAAGGTAATATCGGTTTGTAGTTCATAGTTCACAATTTAACCGTTCCAGACATTTAGAACAAATCTGATCCTGAAGCGACAAAAAAATAACCCACCTCATATGACGAGAATATGTAACTACAAGCAATGACTTGTTTCAGACACGCATTCATTGTTTCCTATTAATCAATTACAGTTCATCAACATAACAGAATGAGCTCTAAGGGAAAAATAATAAGTGCCTTAAGCAAAAGGCACCGTCATTTGAGAGAAAGTGACCTGCTGGGGCAAACCCTCTTAATTATTTTCACACGATCAATTTTAGATCGCATGCATTCTAATATGTAATGAGCATATATAATATAAAAGCATCAAGAAATGCACATAAAACAGAAAATAACTAACGTTTTTAACTTTTTTAAAGAAATGAACAGTATAAACTGAGAATGATAGGCGTACTATCTCATTTGTCAGGCTCTGCTTTGAAGGATCCAACAGGGACCACGCTTGCAGAATCATGATTATTGTTACTTGAAACATCCATGGCTTGCTCCTTAAATATAAGGCAGTAACAGAATTAATTCGGTTTTCAAAAAAGCATCTGACTACTCTGCTTCACACTCAAGGTTAAGAACGATGTAGCTAGTCAAAAGAAAGGACCAAACTTTGAACACCGGTACCTGATTCGTTGAAGTTTGCCCATGTATCCGTTGGGGCTTGGCATTTAGATCAATCAATTCATTACCCGCCTTTCCATCTCCATCAACATTACCATCAAGCGGTGGAATAAGGGAGAGTCTATGGTTCTGATCCTTCCTTACATCAATTGGATCAACCGTTTGCAACCCGAGTTCCTCCAAATGAACAGGCTTATCCCCTGGAAACTACAGCAAAGGGAAAGAACTTTGGCTACTTTCTATCAATACAGAAATGGTAAATGTCAAGCAATCCAACCTAAAATCAATTAACTACAGTAAAAACCACAAAGACAGAGACATGACATGAACGCCTACCACATGACAAATTTTGTTACGGGCATTGGGTAGGAAAACATGCAACAATAACATAAATCCAACCAAAACTAAAACAAAAATGATTGTAAGTTGACAAGCACAACTTGAATATAAAGAGCACAGGCGATCAAGGATTTAACCGATCTGGGATGACACCATGCCACTATAGTAGTAAAAACCAGTCTACAAAAGAATGACAAACCTCAACTCTCTGCCTCAACAAGAGATATCTTCCATGGGTCCTTTTGCCTCAAACATGTACAATCATATCACATTGCAGGCAAAGGGAACTGCCATCTACCTCACAGTAAAAGAAAGCTACATACAAAACCAACAAATGAACAAAATTCCAAAAGTTAACAAGTTTTCACAATTGTTATACTATCAGGTAAGAAAAAAAAACAGATATCAGTCAAATCATACATACCAGGTGCATTTTCGCATATATCACAACTCGGGACATCGCTGGGGTTAGCTAACCCAACCCTCACATGTCTACTCGCTAGCTTGTTACACATGTGAACCTGAAAACTCCAACAAATTACCGCTAAAAAAATTAAAAGTATAATAACTTTTGAGATGATTTCATTAATTTCAATTCCAAAGCTCAAATTTGATTTCGAAAGCACATCAAAAGAATATAATCAATACATTTGGAATACGGGTTAGAATCCACTTACACAACCTAAAACTCACAGATTTAGTTTTACAATGAAAATAGACAACTGAGATTGATTCTTTATTTTCTTTTTCCGATCACATAAATCTATTAATAAAAGAATAGGAAAAGTTATTATTGTTTCGCTTAAATTATATAGGAATTCTTGAGAATAAGAAGTTCTTCGTTTCCCAACATAGAAAAACCACTTAGATTAACGAAACATAATAGAATTATCGAGCAGTGTAAAATTGATGGATATGATCCTCATTGTGCATCTTGATACTAAATCAGTGTAAAATTAAAAGTGTTTTAATTACTGTGTAACAGGATCTATATCTTTTAATATATATATATATATAGACACACACAAACATAGTTTGATGGCAAATTAAAGACTGCAAGTAAATCAAACTATGGCGCTAGATGTGTATAGATACGCACTACGAATAGTTTAATTACTAACATTCAATAGTATGGGGAAATGAAGAGACCTTTTCGTCGCAGGAACGGCAAAGAGCGGCCTCGTCGGCGGCGCAGAAAAGGATGGCGGCGGCTCTCTCACAAACGTCGCAAAGCATTCGCATTTTGGTTTCTTTGTTTGATTTTCCGTTTACTTTTTATTTTCTTCGCTTCGACGGCATTTCTTCCACAGGAGAAAAAAAAACTGATCAAAATTTCAAGAACAGGAATTCAACGATTTTGCAACTGATTATTCATTTCAATTGCAACGAAAGAGTGATTGAAACGAGAGATGAATAAATTGAATATAGAATTAGAAAAAGAAATATATTTTGTTAAACATAGAAGCAAAGCAACTATTTTTTTTTCATAGCATCGGAGAAACTACGAGAAAAGAAATTGCCTAGAGCACAAGACAACGCTGACTCGCTGCAAGTATGTAAACCCCAATACTCGCTAGTTTTTTATTTTCATTTTCAATCACTCCTAAAATAATTGGAAAAAATATTAAAGAAAATGTAAAATTACCTTCCATGTGCCTCTATTATAAGGAATTGTTCAAGTTGGTTCTCAATTATTAAATGAATAAACTTATAATTTTTCACCCAAACATAAAAACATTCAATTTCATCATTAACATTGTTGAAATTGTTTTTTTTTTCTTTTATCAATCATCTGTTAAAATTCTAATTGAGTTGACATTTTCAGGAACAAATTTATAAAATCTTTATTGGAGTTTGAGATTGAATTGCAATTTACTTTGGGACTAAAAGAAAACTTTTCCAAACTAAGGAGACTAAAGGTCAGTTTGGTATGTAGCTTTTGAAAAATGAATTTAAAAAGTGTTGTAGAAACAAACTTTTAAAAATGTTGTACAAAAGTGTAATTTAAAATTTAACTATTTGAGATTGTTGTTAAAAATGAGTTTGAAAATATAAAATGTCTATTATGAACATTGTGTTCTAAATTAAAAATATAAAAATACAAAAAAATATAATTATAATAAAAATATATTTTATAATAACTCACCATTAATATTTTAATATATAAACCATGAATTTTATTTACTTTTAAGTAATTAAAATAAATTATTAAGTAATAAATTATTTTTCTAAGGATGTTAGTATTAAATTATTAAAATAAAATGTAAATACATGATTGAGTATAATCCATGTATTAGTAAGGGTAAAATTATAATTTGCTTCCAAAATTAAAGTTGAAAATAAAAAAGCTAGAAATCATAACTTTTGCGGTTGGTTTGAAAACCAACATTTGCATCGTAATTTTTTTTTCTTTTTTACCTATTTGACATTGATTTTGAGATCAAAACGATTTTTTTTAAAGCTAAAAAGTGCTTTTAAAAAGAATTACCAAACAGACCCTAAAAATAGTAACTAAATTTTTATCATGACATTTGAATTATAATAAATTGTTGATTTTTATAATGTTAATTATATGAGTTAATTATATCATATGTTCAAGAACTATGATCCTCATTTTAAATTGGTCTCTAAAATATGATTCTCATTCTAAATTGGTCCTTAAACCTTTGATTATTTCAATTTCATCCTCAAACTATAATACTCATTATAAATTAGTCCTTAAACTTTTGAACATTCTAATTTCATCCTCAAACTATGATCCTCATTCTAAATTGGTCCGCAAACTTTTAAATCATTCAATTTTATTCCCAAATTCATCCAAATATGTAATTAGTTTTAACAACAGTTTAACCTAAACGTTGTTTTTTTTCAAACATATAATAATATAACTTGACCTAATGATTTTATTAAAATTGAATGTGATTAGTATATACAAATAATTTGGAATGAAATTGAAATGTTGAAAAAGTTTGAGGACTAATTTAGAATGAAGGATATAGTTTGAGGATAAACATAAAATGTTCACAAGTTTGAGGATAAATTTAGAATGATAATCATGATTTAGGGATGAAATTGAAATATTTAAAATTTAGGAACCAATTTGAAAATATAATTATAATTTTAGGATGTATTATGCAATTAACTCTAATTGTATGATATAATTCGAATGAAGTAATAAATAACGACAAAACATAATTATTCTATACTAATGAGTCTGTCATGCTTAACGAGTATCGATTAGCACCACTAACGATGAGTATCATTAATTTAATTTATAAAAATTTAAATTCTAAATGACTCCACGTATAATTATATAATTATAAATGTATCATTGCCCCCTAACATATGTCATTTATACCAAGTTGCCCCCTAACATATGTCATTTATACCAAGTTGCCCCCTAAAGTATTTTTCAGGACATTTTACCCCCTAAAGTTTAAATCTTTACCTTGTTTGCCCTAAATCATTAACTCCGTTAGAAATAGAAAGGGTGAATTACATATTTAGCCATTCAACTTATTTCACGGTTTTGTTTTGGTCGCCCAACTATTTTTTCCTCTCAAAATCATCACTAAACTTAAATTTTTGTTTGGTTTTGATCACGTAAATCGATTCAATTTTTTTGAACTTACTAAATTTTGTTAACTTGGTCCTTATATTTTTTT